CCCCCCCCCCCCGTGACCCTGAATAGGACAAGCAGTTATAGAAAATGGATGGTGATATATTAAACAAAGATTTTTACTTTGTACTGTTTGAAGGTACCAGCAGGTCTGGTGTTAATCATCTGTATTGCTCTACAATACTGGTGCCTAGTGGCTATTTTTTAAAGATAAATGTTGAAATAGTCTCAACATGCACATGCTGTCTGGCCATTATAATTCAGTATAATCAGATACTTAAATTTTGTTTTTTAGGTCACTGTGGCATAGTTAGCAGTACATTGTAATGCTATTTTTCTCTCAGAATAGTGAGATGTGTTTTATCTTATGACTGACTCAATGCCTTTATCTAGTTCATATGGAGTTTGGTAAAACAAAAATGAAAACCCAACAGACCAAACAAAACCCAAACAAAACCCAAACAAAACTAAAGAACTTCACACTGTTCTTTGTGTGGCACACTGTATTTAAGACTTTATGGGAAATCCTATTGTATATATGACTTTTTTAGGGCTTTGCGTGACAACTAGAAACTCTATCCTGCGTATGGTTTTTATTTTTAATTTTACTTTTAAATTGATATTGGCATTAATGTTCATAAAACATGCCATCATCCAAACTAACATTCACAAGGGCATCTGACTTGCGAATCTGACTTTCTCAGATACTAAACTCATTTCCTTTACTTACAGATAAGCAAAAAAAATATTGTTGAGATGCTCATTTTTCACTTTTGGATTGTAATATAAACAAGCGTGCATTTTGTCAACCATTTGTATTGCATTCATTTTTAAATAAAATCAATTTAAAATAAATTATTGTTTACTTTGTATTTAATAATAAATTCATTGATTTTCCTTTTGTTCCAAGGTGAATCCATTCGAAATCGCAAGAGTGAACTAGGCCTATGCATTTTGTCAAAATTGCTTACTGTACAAAAAGTGTTTTCAAAATTAAAAGCCATTTTGTCATTCAAAGGAAAGTGATCCAAGGTGATAAATTAGACCTAGGTCTAATAGTTAGTAAGAAGTATGCATTTCACTAAAACTGAAGAGAAAAATCTCTACTGCTCGGAATCCTTGATCACCAATGAAAAAAAGAATTCTGCGATTGAACTCAGCCATAATGCGTGTCATGTCTGTGGCGAATAGTAGAGATTGCAACAGCATATATGTTTTATTCTGACCTGCTCGTACCCATGTGTCACACCCCCTCCTCGTGGAAATGCCAGTTCGCCAGCGGCTAGCGGAGCCACCCGCTTCGCCCCTTTAAATCCACGCCATACCTCGCCGTACCGGGTGAGGTATCATTGATTCGAATGCAACCTGACGCTGTCTCTTGTCCAGCCCTGAACCCTCGAACCTTCCTTCCTGCCTGATCCTGCTTCCGTTGATCTCACCACCTGGCTGCCGGACCCGTCTGCTTGGTGACTCCGACTTTAAGTAATAGACTCTTACGTGGCTCAGCTGTGCATTTGACAATTTGAAAAAACACAAAACTGAAATACTTCTCAATAGCATCAATTCCACCATAACCCAGAAATGCAATACCAGTGTGTATCTTCCAAAAACATATGTGTTACCTGCATTTTAGCCGACTGCGACCCTGTACTGCATAAGCAATCAGAAGACGGATGGAAACCCCCAGTAATAAAAATGAAATGCAGCACAAAGCAAGGCATTCACGTGCCAACTTCACAAGAATTGCAGTGTATTTATTTACGAAAGCCCCAGCCTCTAGAGAAGGCTTTCTGAATCCTTCACTGTTTCACGGTCTTCTTAAATTATATTGATCTCTCTTCGCTTCCAGTTCTAATCAATAGACTGATGGCGAAAACGTAAGACATAAAAAAGCCATAAAACACAATTCCACAAAGACTCAGGCCAAATAACACCCAAAACAGTCCAATAGCTCCTACTGTTGACCAAATACAGTCTTCACGGAAGAACAGGACAAGTCTATAAAATATAAATCGTTTCTGTGTTAAAGGTGAAGAAACACATATGATTCTAAACTCACGATAACAGAACAGATATCAGAATAAGAAGAATAAGAAAGCTGTATATACAATGACAGCAGTATTCTGAACTCACCAGGGTTTAGCTATAGATAGCCTTAATAACATTAACCTAAATACCTCGACCAGCTCTGCACACTAGTTCTGTTGAAACCCATGCAAGTAATTCTATTTTACAGACATTAACTTAGTGCCTAGGTGCAATTATCCTGGAAAAAAAAACAACAAGAATCAAGTACCGTGAAATGCTGGTATCCTCCAGAAATGACTTTGAAGTCTGCACACTCGATAACACAGGCGTAACATGCTGCTCATATTTTAAGAACTGAATTAATATAGTACATAAACACTCCTGGATCATCCTGTGCAGAGCTCCCTCTCCTTGAGTAGTCCAGTATAACGTCAGCACACCTGATTTAGTTCATTACAAGGCTGAAAATTGAAAATTAGCTTTTGGTTAAATACAACAAATACAGGAACCACTGTGGGTAGTAACTACAACATCTGCAACCCCTGCTCAAAAAGGTAAAACCCTTGGGTATAAAGTATATCAACAACCTTATATAATATTTTTGTTGCTTTAAAAAATATTAATAAAATAAAGAAAAACAAACTAGGGAAAACAAACTTAGCACAGGTACACTTACACACACGTTTAACAACTGTCATGCCACATCTTCACAATTGCTGATATACTGCTCTATATTTTAGCCAATTTTGCAGTCATTTTGTCTTATACGTTTTTTTATTCAAATTTATTCATACTTAAGCTTTGATTTTTCCCACTGTATAGCACATTTCATCAACCATAATCCAGGACACAGAGAAAAGCCATTTCACTGCACAGTGGGACAGTGTATGACTGTGTATTTGACAAATAAAACTTGAAACTTGAAAGAACTTTTAACTTGATGTTAGATCTCTTCAGCTAGGGAATAAAAACAGGCATTAATTAATTTTGTAGTACACAATTCCCCCCCTGAAGATTTTGTGCTGTATTACACGCTGGGCACTGCAGGAGCCTGAAAACAAGATGAAAAAGCATATTGCAGGTGCTGCAGAAAGGGAGGGGTTGCATTCAGCAAATGCTGCAGTGTCAGTTGATGAGGGCTCGTGCAGCTCTGTGCAGTGGGCAGAAATGGCTGCTGGGGGCAGTGACCTGGAGGTGCAGACACTTCACCCGAATTATTATTTGGGTCATAATATGAAAAATCATAATATGCAGCAACAAATAATTGGCAGGTAGTTTCACCAACTGAGCAGGAAAACCAAAAATCAAAGTAAAAAAAATTTTTTTTAAATCACTTTATTTGTTGTTCAGCCATTCATGTTACTGTCTACAACAGTTCACCGTTATAGTTACTTTTACAATGGATGAATTTGCAAATTGTAAAAATGCCTCATTGTACATTAGACCTGTTTTGCTCTTTCCTGGATACCATTAGCCACTCTTTAACTAAACAAAAGGAAACATGGGACCTGTTGGTACAACCATATATGCTGCATCAGACCCAGTACATAGAATACAAAACTCATCATCGCATCCAGGTTGAGGTGCTAAAATTATAAGGCATTCTTCAGTGCAATTCTGTCCATCCATCCATCCATCCATCCATGCCTGCCTCTTCCAACTACTTATCCTGGTCAGTATTATGGATGTTGTATTTTTTATTCTGAGCCACACTAATTCCCACGCTGGAATAAAAAAGTGGAAGAACAAAGTCTGACAGACGAACAATAAGAATATTCAACCTCAGAATATTTCATGTTGTATCAGGTAATATCAGAAAGATATTACTAATAGAGGAGCAATTATTGTATTTCATAATCTGCTTTTTTCCCTCTTATATGGATTACAGAGCCAATCATAGCGCTTTTATGGAGCAAATTCAACATACCAACCTTTAGCACAAGTACAGGCAAGAGGAGTTTGCCGGAGGTGGACGTGGGGGGGGCTGCCTCATGAAGGGCAGGGCTTTGATACGCACACACATCCCCTGGCCTTGACAGAAAGCATGGCGTGACAACAGGTCTGCCCCAACTTACGATCCCAGCAGCCAATCAGGTGGGAGAGGCCTTCATCCTTGGCCACTCCCGCCGATGGTTCTAAATATTTGGATTCCAGGACAGGAAAAGCTCTTCACAAGATCCAAACACAAAGAACTGCCACGCCCACTCTCCACACAGGTGCTGGACGTTTCACGCATGTTAAAAGAAAATGGGAGCAAATCAATGGATGGAAAGAAAATCCCCCCCTTCTTTAGCTGCAGTAGAAACGGGGCGGTAAGGAGCCATCAGGCAGAATTCATGATCAACAAAACAGCTTTGTTACGATATTGTGCATTTAACTAAAAAATGGCAAAAAAAAAAATTGTCGGCCATATCTTACTAAGATAAAGACCTTGACTTGGAGGTAACTATGACTTCTACAGCTGCAAAAGATTCATCGGCAAATCCTTAGTAGTTACTATACTCAAAAGCATCTCAGCCTTTTATAAAATTCACAGCATTCTGTGTTTCGCACTGATCTTCATCTCTGAATTTCCCAGGTTTCCCCTTGTTACTCACATGCAGAGAGTCACAGTAACAATG